TACGAGGACAATTGATCTGTTAACTTCACTTAGGAAAATGACCTTCTTGTGGAAGTTCTAGTTGGAATACACTCCCTCAAGTGGCATTTTTCATGTGTCGTGATCAGACAGGCCTGTTGACAAACAGAGCAAATGATCCATCACCAGTGAAGGTGGGGAGATTTGAGATATTTCTGTCTTGTTCTTGTCAGCAAGTTCTCAGACATCTTTCAACGCATCTGAAGGATGAGGCCACCTCACAGGTATTCTCTGTAGCTTTGCTCTCGGGATAACCACTCTTTGTGCGCGCTTATATTGGTAGAGTGTGCATATAGACACCAATCACTAGTGCTAAGATCAGCTATATCAGAAATAGGTTTGCACTTCTTCCCAAGTTTCAACAGGTTACTGGGTCCTTAATAATCATTCTGGATTGTGATGTCTCATCATCGTCCTGTCCTGGAGCCTACTGATAGATGGCTACTGAAGCTCTCTTTGATTTGTGTGGGTTGTTTAGTTTTAACTTTCAATTGGTTGCTTTTTCAATGGTTTCGATGAGGTTGGTGATGAGGGTTGGCCTAGTGTGTAAGCCTGTTTGGGATATGAACTCCATTATCTATTCAGGTTCCAAAATTGATCTTAAACCATGCTTCTGCTGTATCAGTTGTTTTCTTTTATTAGGAAAAAGACAATTCTTGTTGATGCAAATGGAGAATGAGTTCTTAGGAGACATTGAACAGTTTGAAGAAATTAATTATCAGATCAGAGAAAAAGTGATGCGTTATTTGTCGAGGCAGCAGTTTAGTCTTTACTGTGTTTTTCACTACCCGCTTTCCTCGTGGTTGTCTTCTTTTTAGCTTCAGAGTTGCGGTGGGTCCCTTCTGCCTTTACCTAACATCTGTGGGGGCCTCCATCACATTAAACTTATCTAAAACACTGATAATTTGTGAACATTTATAGCAGTGTTTTTCTGTTTGCTGTTTAAATAAATTTTCATGTTAAAATATATTATAATGATTTTTTTATTTTTAAAAATTATTTTTAATATTAATATATTAAAATAATTTAAAAATATTAAAAATATATTTATTTGAAATAAATAAATAAATTTAAATTTTTTTAAAAGTATTTTTGAAATGTAAAAGTAAACATGTTCTTGTTCTAAATAGGTTCAGCCGTCGTCGGGGTATTTGGAGTTAATTTCAATCTGTTTTTTTATTAATACTTATTTTTTAAAATTAATTTTTTTTCTTGTATTTTTAAATTGTTATGATAAGTTAATATAAAAAATAAATTTTAAAAAATTAAATAAAAATAATATTTTAATATTTTTTTAAATAAAAAATACTATAATTATTATAGCATTTACATGAACCTGTTAGTGCTATTGGATTGGATCACTCCAAGATTATGTGAAAACAACAGTATGATAGCAAGTCGTCTTCTAAGGGGCCGCCAAAGTTGAAGGGAGAGGATGTGGACTGATCTTCAGCTGTCAAGGAGGGCATAATGACAGTTTCAACTCGAGAGAGATGGTTAATCCCCACATTGACTAATACGTTTATTGAGGGGAAAAAACAATTAATTGGGTGTGGGGGCGCATTGCTTAGTTTATAACTAGTCATGTTAGCCGCATAATATTATGGGTTAATTTTTTTTATAAAAAATATAAAAAAAAGTTAAAATTTAAAAGTGTTAGATTTTTTTATAAAATTATACTGAAGAATCTTATGTTTGACTACAATGTTTGATCTAAGGATAATATATATAATAATATTAAACTTATATGATCCAAGTTTAAGTGAGTTTGATTGCAATACCAGATTAAATAGTTTTGGATATGAGTCTGGTTATAAGATGGTATCATAAAAATATGATAATTAAGTAGATTAATTAAAAAAACAAAGAAAAAACCAATAGAAAAAAAAATCTGAATTAACTGAGTTAGTCCTCCAAAGCAGGTTAATGTGTTAAATTTTTGATTCATATCGTGAAAGTTTGATAACTAAATAGAAAAAAAAAATTGACAGGTCACCCAGAATTAATTGGGCTATCTCGTCAAACCAGGTTAACCCGTAAAAAAACAAAAAGAAATTTTTTTTTCTTTAATTAGCCAAACCTAAGATAACTAAATAGAAAAAAGGCATCAATAACTAAATAGAAAAAATGTGATATTAATGAACTAAATTCAATAAAAAAATATTAATTCAAAAGAAAAAATAATAGAAAAAAACTTATAAGAAGACAAAAACTAATGAAAAAAAATCTAAATTATCTGGGTTAATCCATCAAATCTAAGATTTGTATCATGGAAATTTAATAACTAAATAAAATAATATTTAATATTAATAAACTAAATAAAAAAATTTAATTAAAAAGAAAAAAAATGCACAGCTTTTTATCGTGGACTGCACTATGCAGTCCACAGTGAAAAGCATAAAAAAAGAAAGAAAAAAAATTAAAGACATCAGCATTTCACTATGGATTACAGACAATTATAAAAGATGAAATTGGAAGAAAAAAACTAAAAAGAAAAAATCTGAATTAACTGGGTTAATCTGCCAAATCAGATTAACCTGCTAAACTTGAGATTCGTGTCATAAAAATATGATAACTAAATAAAAAAAAAGATTAAATAAAATAGAAAAAGCAAGGAGAAAAAAATATATAGGAAGAAAAAACCTAATGAAAAAAAATGAATTAACTAGGTTAAACCATCAAACTTGGGATTCATGTCATGAAAACTTAATAATTAAACAAAAAAAATTTAATATTAAGAAACAAAAAAAAAAAAAAAAAAAAAAAAATTTAAAAATAAAAAAAAAAAAAAAAAAAAAAAAAAAACTAAAGGCATAAGCATTTTCACTGTGGACTGCATCATGCAGTTCACAGTTAAAGGCTTAAAAAGAAAAAAATAAAGATATACGTCATAGGTTAATTTTTTTTTTTGCATAAAAAATATATATAAAAAGCTAAGATTTAAGAGTGTTAGGTTTTTCTGCAAAAATATACCCAAAAGTCTTGAGTCTAACTGCAACGTTTAATTCAAAAATAATATTTATAATATTAATATTAAATTTTCATGATTTAAGTTTAAGTGAGTCTGATTGCAACATCAAACCCAAGAGCATTGGATGTGGGTCTAGCTATAAGATTATGTCAAAAAAGTGTGATAATTAAATAGATTAATTAAAAACAAAAAAAAAACCAATAGCAAAAAACTAATGAAGAAAAAACTAGGTTAACCCTTTAAACTAAGTTAACCCGTCAAACCTGGGATTCACGTCATGAAAGTTTGATAACTAAATAAAAAAAAATTAACAAGTTTACCTATAATTAACTGGGATAACCTGTCAAACCAAGTTAACCAGTCAATCTTGGGATACGTGTCATGAAAGTCTGATAATTAAATAAAAAGGAATTTAACATTAACAAATCAAACTAAATGAAGGAAACTAATTAAAAAGAAAAAAAATTCCGGGTTAACTCACAAAACCAAGTTAACGTATTAAATTCGGGATTTATGCCATGAAAATCTGATAATTAAATAAAAAATTAATATTAACAAACTAAATTAAACAAAAAAATTAAAAGAAAAGGAGAGAGAGAGCGCTCAACATTCATTTACTTTTTAATATATATTATCATATAATGTAATGTAATAATCATAATAATTATAATATAATAACTATCATAATATAATATATTAATAATATATATTAATATTGGGGAAAGTCTAAAAGACATGGAAAAGTACTGTAAAAATCGGATAATTACATAAAAAAATTTAATATTAAAAAACAAAAAAAATTAAAAAGAGAGAGAGAGCTCATTATTCATTTACTTTTTAATATATATTATCATATAATATAATGTAATAATCATAATATAATAATTATCATAATATAATATATTAATAATGTATATTAATATTGGGGAAAGTCTAAAAAGCATGAAAAAGGTAGAGTACTTCCCCCAACTTTTAGAGTATGTTATAATAATATTCTAATTTTCTTTTTTCAATAAAAAACTTAAGTCATAAAAAGAAAATTTTAAACTTGCTATTTAAATGGAATAATTCTGCATCCAGAAAACTAAAAAACTAATTTTTTAAATTTTTTAAATTTATACTGAGTTAGAAAAATATATTTTAAATGTTTCTTTATGATTTTTCTTTACAAAAGTTCAAAACAATACATAAACAATACAATTTTTTATATATAAATACTTTTGAACATTATAAATATTAAAATTATTTTTTTATATTTCATGTTTAATTAGTTTCATACATTTAGTTTCTGTTATAAATCTAATATGCTTTTTTGAGTTAATAATGTATTTTTTTATGTTAATGTTTATTTTGAATGAAATGAAATTAATATTCTATAATTAGGTTATTATGAATACAAGGTATTTATTATAAATTATAGCTTTAGTTTTTAATTAAGAAAAAATTGTTGTGATCCTGATATATTTTTTAAGTGGAAAAATGCATTTTTGTCCTCAACAAATGAATACATTTTCTGTTTTATTTTCTTTGATAAGGAAATGTAAAAGAAAAGGAAAAATAGTAAAATTTCCATAAAGTTTCTAATTTTATAATGCATACAAAACCAAAGAGGTGATCTTATTGTATGAAAGATGCCTGCTTCTATTTGAAAGAAATTAAAAAATAAAAAAAAATTGTTTATTTTTGTGTTTCAAAAGTATTTTAAAGTGTATTTTTTTTGTTTCAAATTATTTTTTTAGTATTTTTAAATTATTTTGATGTATTAATATTAAAAATTATTTTCATATATTTTTAAATAATTTTTTTTAAAAAAACAATCATTAATAAAATTAACCAATGACAACACTTCAAAAAATGATGAAGCAGCAGCAGCAATTCCGTTTTTGAGAGCAAAACAGGTAGAACACGGCAATACGTGGAGGGACCGTTCTTCTGTCAAAGTTTTATGCTAAACATGGCCCTCCTCTCCACAGACTATTGTCTCCCACCAAATCCCACAATATCATATCTTCCCATCTAATCAAACACCATTTACTAATGTTCAAAACGATCTCCATCTTCTTTTAATCAAACTCCACAATCATCAGCTTCAAGCACACGTCATTGCCCATGCAAACTCCACTACCACTAGGTTAGGTTTAGTTTAGTTTAGTTTAATGATTAGCTTCTCTTATATAATACAAGTGAGGCCATGGATGCTTCTTGTGCTCGTTGATCTGATGGAGAAGAGCAAATCATTTTCCGGTTACTCAAATGCCTACTCAGAAATCCGACTAGGCTTCGAGGAACGGTCTAGATCTTACAGCTTTAATGGCCCGGCAGGCAAGGTGGATGGTATTGAGCTAGAAAGTTCAGGCAATCCAGAGCTCAAGCGGAGGAAGAGAGTGGCACAGTATAACATGTACACCATGGAAGGTAAGATCAAATCATCGTTGAGAAACAGCTTCAAGTGGATCAAGAGCAAGCTTGTAGATGATTATTTTGATGACTGAACTATATCTATATATTCTGCCGCCTTGCTACTGTTTATATATATTTTATATGCAAGAGTGTAAATTAATAAGTATGTCTAAAGTCTTCGCAGTACTTTGCAAAACAAGAGTGCGATGTTACTGGGTTTTATATGCAATAACCCTGCTCTCTACTCTCTAATTTCTCAGACTGTAACCAAGGAGGAGGAGAAACATGCTTCTCCTTCCATATTCAATTCATGCGAATCCACCCATGAAACCCTTTCACGTCTTCGCTGGAACTGTGTTCATGTTCTTCGCTTGAGTTGCTCTGTTTAACCCAAGTTCTAACCTCAGCAACTGTAATGACTAGTGAGGTAACCCTTTATTAGTCCAACATATACATATATATATATATATATATATATATTAGAAAAGTGGTTTTTATAAAGGATTCTTCATAAAATTACCGTTAATTAATTGGTTTGAGCTAGATATGTTGTCTTAATCTAACTATTAATTTTGTAATAAATAAATAAATCAAACCATTAACTTTTGAAATTAACAAAATGAAATAAGAGTACTTCGGTTGGATGATATGAAATAAATATATTAATTAAATGATGAAGTCTTTAATTTGTTTTTCAAATCAAACAAAATAATAAGAACCCTTGAAATTCCTCAAGGGATAGGTTGGATGATTAAGAAGATTTACTGATTTTATAACCTTTTGAATTCGAGTTAATACTAGCTGGTATATATCTGGGAGAAAAAAACTCACCCATATTAAAATAGAGTCTCTGCATACATAGACCTAATTAGGTGCATAATTTAGAAAATATTTATGGTATTCATAGTTAATTAGTGATATCTTATTAATTACTTTTTAAATTTACTTTGAAAAAATAAAAATACACAAAAAAAACTTATAAACCATAAAAACTAATAAAAATATCTTCACGTAAAATTTCTTTTTTCTTAAGTATATCTATTTTTTAAAATAAATCTAGAAAATAATTAATAAGGTATCATTATTTCCTCTCTAATTACCATAAAATTTCTCTACATTTTGTGTAGTGGAATATTAAAATTTGGTTAACTATATATTTGTCTCCTTTATACTTTATTTTTTGGTTATATCATTACCTAGCGGTTCAATATGAGTCTTTTTTTTTAAAAAAAATTTAATAAAAAAATTATGTTACATGTATCCAAATTACATGAAAAAATAAAATCACCATAATAAAATTATTTAAACAAAATAAAATTATAGAAGCCAATTTATTTGATTTTCCCCGTGTTTTTCTTTTTCTCCTTTGTTAGACGTGTGGGCCGGACAATGTACGGGCCCAGCCTGTTGATTATTATTATCATCATTTAAAAAGAATCTGGGCCAGCCAGACGCACGGTTAGTTAACGGATCTGTTTAGAGCATCTCTATGATTTACAGAATATTAAAATTAAAATTAAAAAAAAAATAAGAGACGAAAAAGTTGAAATCCAATTCAATATACATGTATATATATATATATGCTCAAACCTAATCATGAAAGCAAACACTCTAGGTAGACCTGGTTGGATTGGATAATAGCAATTGTTTTCAGGGATAATTAGAAAAAATATATCTTGTAAGATTTGGTCGTGTTTTTTCTTTTTGAAAAATCAAATTTAATATCGTAAGAAATCAAAAGATAATTGCTCGGGATTTCAGGCCGGAAAGATTGTGAAATTAGCCGGAAAAAAACGAAGAAGAAAGGCTGCTCTCATTTATTGATGACTGCAAATAAAACAAGAACAGTTGAGAAATATGAACGCATTGTACAATATTTCCTCGCAGCAACAGCTTCAAGGAGGGAGATGAAGATGCAGTAGTATCACAGATAGTAACTGGTGAGATTTTGCTCGGCCTAATCTTTATCAAGTCCAAAGAGTTTTGATATTTTTTCTGGATCAAGAGCACGGAAGTCCAGCGTGGAAACAGACCGGCGGTAACCACCTGGCATTGCATTGCCCCCATTAAGGTTAATGATGTCTGTTATAGAAGCCTGTAAAAGGGTGAAATTCTGGATGTTCTTGGTAGCATTAGGATGAGCCTCCGTTCTTATCGATCTATTCTGATTCTGATCAACAACCGGCGAAAAGGATGGCCGCGGGAGGCCTTGTTCTTGCCTCGGCGTTGATTTTAGACCCAAGGATGTGCTGCTGCTTGCACTGTTTCCTGTCTCAAGGCCATTATTCGTACTTGGCTCTGAGATTTTCGCCACCTAAAACAAAGCAGAATACCATAGATTATTTCCGAGATCATCACATCTTCTTCTTCATTGAATTACTAGTTTGATTTCTTGCACTACGAGTCAACGCACCAAAAAATAAAGCTTTTTTTTTTTTTTTTTCTTAGCACTAAAAACGGTGCATGCGTTTGTTAATATTTTTTTTATGTGTTAATTAAAATAAATAACGAATTATATATGGTAATAAATAACAATAAGTTTGTTTACTTTAATTCAAAATTAAGTTGGGAAGTTATGATATATATATTAAAAGAAAAAAAAGACTAAATATTTATTTAGTTTAGAAATCTAGTTTTTAAAATTTTAATTGGTTTGAACTAATAAAATAAAATTTTATTTTGTCAAATTAAGTATATATTAAAAAACATTTTTAACAACGTGAGAGCTTCATATAAAATTAGACCCCGTTTATTTGTTGGAAAGTAGTTTTTTTTTAGAAAGTGAATTCTGAAAAAATATATCATTTTATGATATTTGATAGTGTAATGTAAAATAATTGAAAAATATTTTTCAGTGTTTAGTCAGCTTATGAAAAATAAGCTGAAAAATAACTTATTAATGTTTTATTTTTATCAAAATTATTAAAATAATGAAAAATAAATCTTACAAATTAAAAGGTTAAATGAGAATGAAATTAAAAAAATATATAATTTTATAAATTATCTCAAATAAAATAAATAATAATCAAAATAATAGAAATCAAAAAAATTAAAAAAATAAAAGATGAAAAAATAATAATAATAATTAATATTTCATAAATTATTTCAAATAAAATAAGCAATAATAAAAAAATAAGGATCAAATTTGATAGATAAAAAATTTTAATAAAAAAATGATAAGAAAAAAGCAAATAATAATTATAAAAATAAAGATCAAAATTAATATAAAAATTAAATTTTAAAAGATAAAATTAAAAAATAAATATTCAAAACAAAATATATATAGCAATGAAAAGTTTGATGATCAAATTTGATATAATCAGCAAATAATATAATATTTATAAATTTTTCACAACTTTCAGAAAGTATTTTCTGTTTAAATTTTTCAAGAAAATATTTTTCTGAAAAATAAATCAAATTTTTCTTTAACTGGAAATTATTTTCCATTGACCAACTTTCTTAATGACAAACAAATACAAGAAAGTTTGGAAAGTAGTTTCTTGAAAATTACTTTTTGAAAAACAAACACAATATTAATCAAAATAAAACATCAAAGTCAATCCCGCGTCAAGTTAAGAATTAAATTGAAAATAAAACAAATCAAGTGAAAAAAATTTTAAAAAATATATTATGAATTTATTACAATCCAAATAAATACTGTCTTTTTTCTATGCTATGCTGTATTTTCATTATTTTTATTTTATTATCTCACGGTTTATAATTCCAAATACTATTTGATAGTTTACTCAAAGTTAATTTTATAAAATTAAACTATAATTATGAAAGAAAAAAAAAATTTGATCCAAAAAAAAGATGGGAAAAAAAATTAAGGTGATTGGTTGTTTTTTTTTTTTTTATGTATATATATATAATCAAGAATGTTACCTCTTTAGAAGATTCTGTTTCTAGTTTGGCAGGTTGAGAAAAAGAGCTCTTTCTCCCTTGACCACTTTGTCTTGCTCGAGATGAGCGCTTCTTTGGATTCCTGCGCCTATAAGATGGAAGTACAAGCAAGTACACATTCATCAATTTGTTGGGTGCAGAAATAAATCGATAAGATAAGCAGCATTGATACTGACTTTTTCCGATCATCGATTTGATTTGGCTCATCCTCCTCTTTGTAAATTACCGGTAGACCTGAAAGTTCGCATGCCAATGGACTCGAAGAGAAGAACTGCTGGGAAAGAACTAATAATTTTACTCATTGAAATAAGCTCCAGAAATTTGCAAAAGCAGCAGGAAAGAAAAAAAGAAGAACAGATATAACATAGTATATAACAATCACGAATTAAGGGAGGCATTGCCATTATCGCTCACGTACGTGGCTTTGGAGAGCAGAAGCAGCAGTGCCACGATATGCTGGGTTCAGAGCGAGAAGTGTGGTCAAGAGGACAAGTGAAGACTCAGGAAAATCCTTGAAGGCTTCTTGGAAACTAGCTTTGTAGTGTTGAGTTGGTCTGAAGCTTGTTGGTAGCCTCATTATCTTCCAATAATCCTCTGGTGGTGAACCACAAAGCTTGAAAATCATATGAAGTTGCTCAACCTGAACACATGCATATGACATATATATATAGCCTCACAAAACAGACAAGGAGGAAAATCTGCATTCAAGAAAATGGAAATGAAAACAATATGTTCCTCTAGCATTTGATCATGTGCGCTTCTTGATGATCATGGGATCTATAAATTATGAATAGGAATTGATTTCAATGCACTTTCCTGATGGTCTCATAATGTCTTGTCAATTTACCTCTGTCCTTCCACGCATGATTGGCCTTCCAATGAACATCTCAGCCAACAAGCAACCAGCACTCCAAAGATCAACACCCACTCCATAATCAGTGGAACCTAATAACAGCTCTGGGGCTCTATACCAGAGTGTTACCACTCTGTTGGTAAGGGGTCTTTTTGGTTTATGTATGAAGAAATTTGCAAGCCCGAAATCTGCGATTTTCAGCATCCCATTTTTGTCTATCAACAAGTTGGAAGCTTTAATGTCTCTGTGCAGAATACCCCTCTCATGGCAGTGCTGGAGACCTGAAAGCAGCTGCTGCATGTAGCATTTGACCTATATCAAAGACAGCAAATCGCCATGTTTAGAATCTCGTATATATGCTCATAGCATTAATTGACCAGTAGTTTATATAACTTTCATTTTTCCCATTTTAATGTAATATTTGAAACTTTTTCCATTCCGGTTCTACATATTTTCCAGGAGGTAATAGATTAAACATCTCTTTGAGCCGCAAGCAATTAATGAATGGTCAGTTCATTATTATGGCCCCATCAAACAGCCAGAGACAGTCGTTTTTCGAAGACGCAGGAGGGAAAGTTCAAACCTGTGGTTCAGTGAGCCTTTCGCCTGGACGAGAGATGATCCTGTTTAGGTCAGACTGCATGAAATCAAAGACAAGATAAAGACTATATTGCATCCTTGATGTGGCTACTCCTTCAAGCTTGATTACATTTGGATGATCTAGCTTCTGTAGCATCATTATTTCTCTTGCCATAAACTTGACACTTTCAGGCTCTGATGTGTCAAACCGAACCTTCTTTAGAGCAACTATCTTTCCAGTGTCCCTATCTCGAGCTTTATAGACATTGCTATAAGTTCCCTGGCCTACCTGCAAATGAAAAACATAATTGCAATAAGATGATTCATAGTATCTGCTCCATTAATTTCCCACCAATCACCCTAGTCTCTATCGCCATACAAATTCGAAAAAGAGTTCTTCGAATACAGTTTTGGTGTGTGTTTGTGGGTCTGAAGTAGAGGAAAAGGTAACAAATATCAAACGCTAACCTTAGCTAGCTTATCATATGAATCAGCACTCTTTGGAACCAAACCACCCAAAACCTCTCTAGCAATGTTGTCAACAAGCCATTTTGGCCACCCATCCACAAGTTCATCTCCCCCTGCCTTCTTCGAAGAAAATCTTTGTGACACATTTCCAACATCGTTCTTTAACCCTTCTCCCACAACCAACTTATCTCCTCCATTGACAGCACCATTCAAGGCAACCTCTCTCTTCTTGTCCAATTCTTGCCTGAACAACTTTCCGGGTTCCCTCTGACTAGTAGGTCTCCCTCCATTCTCTCTCTTAACATACCCATTTTCTTGTTTCAACTTCTCTAGTGTCTGAGGAGGCGAGTAGGTTGAACTCTTGGTCTGAACACACCCCATTTCTCAGAATCCTAATTCTTTGATGGGAATCAAAAGCACGTTGATTGCTAGATGACATAGTAATGGTAATGAAAGGATTTGCATATGAAATGATTGTGAGCAGCATAGAGATTTACTTTTGAACAATCAAGAAATGCGAATTGGCCGTCCTTTGGCCTGCATTTTGTTTGGATTTTTGCTAAATGGAAATGCATGTTGTCTTTGTGTGACCCTGCTTTCTCCGCCTCAGGAGTTAAGGAAGACTATAGAGACAAGGGTTCACTTTTGTCCTCCGTCGTCAATGACTCGTTCTGTGTTACCAACGAAAAGCTTTAGCTCTTTCTGATTTTGGCGGGTTGGTGAGATTCAAGGGTGTCGGTCCGATCACAGCCTCTTGCATGCAGGGACAATTCAGAGTTTCGAACTTCACTATAAATAATAATTTACCCTTGTTTGCAATAGACAAGCATTTTCCACTAGAAGTCTAGCTCCATATCCAAGATTCTGGATTCTAGATGCAGTTACTTTCCATGGTGTTTGAAGAGATTGTACTGTGGAGAAAACAGAAGTGCTCTCTCTCTCTATATATATATATTTATCAACAGAAGCTAAACTTGAAAAATACATTACAAGAACATTGGAAAAGAGACAAAATGCAGGAGTGGATTTATAACGTGTTGTGCAATTTGCTCTTTTAAACAAAAAAATGGAACACCCAAAAGTTTAAGTACCTTTAAAGACCTTCAGATTTCATGGCTAATAAAACATATTTCAAATATTTTCAAATTGATATCCCACAGTTGTTCATCCAACGACCAAGCTTTAGCTTGCTCCAGCTTTCACAATTATGACACTGTAATCAGACGTCAGGAAATAATCCTGCCAATGCTTAAGCTGTCACCATTGATAATCTTTCTAGAAGATGACAGGCAAGGTCGAAGGGTCCCAAAGAATCAGTCTGCATCAAAAAAGTAAATTAGCTGTTTGTAAGGTTATATGCAGGATAGAGAATACATTTCAATTACGAATTCAAGTACCCATTTGATTCCTGAAAGCCCTAGGCTGTTTTCATTATTACAAACTCGAGAACCAAGTGACAACTCTGTTTCGGATTCTTCACAGCCATGACCTTGTTGAAGGCTAGATTGGTACCAAGGACACAAAATTTAATGGCTTACTGAAGTTTATCTGAAATCGTGAAAATTTTGGTCCTCGACTACAACTTTTTATGAGATCAATACCCCTAAAATGACTTCAACTACTGTCCCAAACCAAGAGATGTATCATACCAAATTATCAAATATCTATTAGCAGAGCTCTGATGCGCTTCAAATTTCCTGGAACCATCAAACGTTTATATCAATCAATTTAATAGGTGAGCAAGGGTATAACGATGCAGCTAAAGTACACTACACAACCAGTATCCTAAGACATACTTCCATAAGTCAATTACAGTATGGGAGAACTTAACAAACCGCAGTCATAGTTGAATGTTTAGATGACTTTGAACCAGCATCTTGACTGCAGGTCTGAGAATATGCGCTTCCACTCAAGGCTTGACAATCTTTGCCAGAGGCAGAGAATTTCTTAATGGCAAGCTCATGGCATGTGTCTTCAGCATCCAAATTAGATGAGCAAGAACATTGGGGAGGACGTCTCGGTCCTTGGGAATGATTTACTTGCGCAGCAATAAAGGCATCTAGTGAATCAGAGATTAACTGAGAAAGCTTCAAGCCTGGGTTACTCCCATTTGATTTTGGATCGAAGGTATTCAAAATTCCCTGCAATGATGCTTCAGATAGCAGGCCCCCAATCCTTATGTTATTTAGACCATCATCCCACAGAGTTGAAGGCTGCCCAATGCTGCCAGCATCCCTCTTTGCTTCGTTAACCTAGACAGACATGAATATGCAAATTTCAGAAAGATATAACATTGAAAAGCATATTCTAATCAAATCTCCATATAGATCAAACATGCAAAGTTGACCTTAATCAAATAATTCTGGCAATCGATCTTGAAACTTTCTCAAATAACTTCCACAAATCTTAAAACACTAGGATCCGATGATCATTTTGATGGCTTATCAGTTACACACACACACACTCTAAAGGCTGAAAGCTGGAAGCACTCGTAAGTCACAATCGCCACAGGAAAATATTGCTAAACACTCAAATCAAGCAAATTACACAAGAACACAATAACAGCAGTCAATTGAGAAAATGCCCAAAAAATATACAGTACCACAGGTCCAATTAATTCATTGGAAGATACATTATCAGCCAAAACCGCATTTGTAGCTCCAGTTGAAGTGCTGTGTTTGGTTGGAACTCCTCACTGGTTTCCTCCATCCACTTCATTTCACTACGGGCACTCACTGCATCAATGCTGCAAACTTGCTGCATGATTTGAGGTTGCAAGCAGGCATCATAGGTAGTCGACATTGAAGGTACTCCAACAGATTCAGTTCCAGAATCCGAGAAACAACCATACCTTAAGACACAGAACAAATCAGAAAACTAAACCAAACTAATAGATGCAACGAAAAGGTGATCAGACCCAAGACCTTAGACGGAAAATAGATGCGTTCCCAATAGCTGCACTGATATTAATGTCACTCAACGTCCACTTCTTAGTAGTTGAAGCTTCAGATGTGTTACAATGGTAGAGGACTGGCTCCCCGCAAGCAATTCCCGAACCACCCCACTTGTCATTTAAATGCTTTAGCACGGACGACAACTTTTTCCGAGCGCTTAGAGTGAGTTCCAGGTAGGGATGATAGCCATCCTGCAGAGATTAATAAATAAATTAAAAAAAGGTCGGCATCTAAAAATGCACAAAACAAAATAGAATGAGGTCAGAACATATTTGCAACATCCCGCTGGTTGATATTCTTTGACCTTTTCCAATCCCACACGAGTTCCTTCATCAACTGGAAAGAGCTGCAGCTTTATCTTCGCGGGCATTTGCTTGCTTTCTCCGCTGACCCTCCTTTTCCTAATTAATAATTAACAATCAATTTTACACTAAAACAATACCATAACCAAATAATTAACTAAAGAAAAGGCTTTTAGCGGATCTCATAATCAGCTTGGTTTAGTTTAGTGCAAATCAATTAATGATTAGCTAGGGTTTGTTTGTAGTGCTAATCAGTTTCAGAATTCATGAAAGATATTTTATAGAAATTTGGAGTTATGAGATTGAGAAAAATAGCGTACCTGGATTGAATTTTAAAGCTGATTGCTTGCTGAGAGGGAGAGGGAGAGAGAGAGATTTGAAAACTGAATAGAGAGAGAAATGTTGGCGGGAATGAGTTTTTTTTTTATATAGCATGTTAGAGCCGGCTATGATTGGATGAAAATATTATTTAATAATGTGATGTAAAAAAAATTTCAAAATTAATTTTTTTAATATTTTAAATTATTTTAATATATTTATTTTGAAAATTATTTTAAAATAGGATTGAGCTTATCTATTACATTTATGTGGGCCTCATATTTGGGCTTGGGTCTATCTTATTGGCCTTTTATAATTTATAATGGTGCTGTTTTTGTTTTTAATAAGTTTGGATTATTTAAAAAAAAAAAAACCATAACAACCAAGATAAAGATAAATAATATTTTAAAATAACTCATTTTAGAGAAGAAGAAATGGATTTAATGATTAGTAAAAATATATTGTATAAAAATATCTTCTTTTTTTTCCACTCTTATCTTTAATTTTTATTAATATATTTTTTTTTATTTGTGCTTATAGTTAGGTCTATGTACTTATTTGTCTTTGATTTGTTATCCCCATTCATCTATTTTTTTTGAATAATATTTGATTGTGATTACTTGAAGATAATGAATCTTTTTAAAGAATTTATTTGAAATTATAGTAAAAATTAGTTTTAAAGTATATTTTACTTAGAAATATATCAAAATAATATTTTTTATTTTAAAATTTTACTTTTAATATTTGAACATTAAACCCAATTAAAAAAACTAAATAATTAATTTAAAAAATTTTAAAAAAAAATTGACGGCATTAAAACCCTAGCCAAGCAATATATATATGGTTTTCATCACCTTAACATAAACCAAAATCAGGTATACATGATTTGTTTTTATATTTTAAAAATATTTTAAAGAAAATTTAAATATTTTTATTTTTTAAAATTAATATATTTTTAGTGTTTTTAAATTATTTTAATATATTTATTAATAAAAAATATTTGAAAAATTAACGCTTCAAAATAGATTCGTAAAACACAACTATGCATTGCCAAAAATCATGGAGGCGTCAACTTGGATGCTGAACAGAGATGGCGAGCTTTGACTTGTCTTCTACCTCTTTAGAAAACAGAGCTCTGTGTAAATGGGTCAGTGATAGTTGCACCATGGAAAAGGAAAGGATGGCGGTATTAGCCACGAGATTAGAGCCACCCTACCCCCTACCTAATTTTATTAGGTTTACAATGAAAACGACAACGCCACCGTTAGAGTTATTTTAATGGCATTTTGTTACTTTGTCTTCCAGTTTGTTTCGCAGTATACTTACATATATTTTTTTAGATATTTTTTTATATTAAAATATATATTAATAATATTTTTTTATTTTTTAAAAATTATTTTTAATATTAATACATCAAAACCATCCAAAACATATTAAATTGCAATAAAAATAAATTTTTTTAAATATAATTTACACTACATTTTCAAATATGCTTTTTTTCTTTCAAGAGATATTAATTTGTTATTTTTCTATGGAAAAAAGAATTATTTTAAATAATTTAAAAATAAATTAAAATCCAAGAGTTTTCTCATTCATTTATTCTTCTTCTTTGATCTCCATTCAAACCTTAACCTCATTCTTTCAAATTTCTGATAGTATGGGTGAAGGCTGAGAATGTTTCACATGATCGATTGCCATGCTTGATGCTTTTTTTTTGCCCCACCAGCCATTTAATTGTAGATTTTATTTTACCGTTTATATAAAAAATAAAATAAATATTTTTAATATATTTTTAAATAAAAATACTTTAAAATTAATTTTTACTATTTTAAATATCCCCTGGCATCATTACCTGATGATCAAACATGACAGTTGTTGTGAGCTAGCTGCATCACAATATACAATATAAATGCTTTGGTGGCAAAATTAAATAAAAATATTGAATTATTTCAAAATTATTATCAGACGTATAATAATAAGATTTGATGACAAAATTATTCTATAACTAATATATCAACAAAAAATTAAATAAGAATAATCAAAATCAAATCTGTTACAACATTTCTATCATTTATTTGATAATCTTAGTATCATATTTGTTTTATCAAAAAAAATTCTCCATTTAAAAACTATAGTTTTAAATAAGATTTTAAAATATAATTTATTTTATTTTTTAAAATATTAAAACTTATATAAATTTATATTTACTTATACTATTAATTAGAAAAGAAAATAAAAATAATAAAATTTAAAATCATAATAATTATAGCTTACATTAAGTTTTTATTCTTGAAGAAATAAACAAATTACGTTGCACATCCTACAATTCAAATTATATTTTTTTTACTGTACATTCCTTTATTTTTATTGTGCTCAAACTTTGCGTTTGCTTTGGATATCTGTTAAAAAAAATTGAGTTATTTCAAAATTGTTATCTGGCGTATAATAATAAAATTTAATGATAAAATTGATCTTCAACTACTAAAACAATAAATAATTAAATAAAAATAATCAAATTCGAATTTGTTACAAAATTTTAATGATTTTTTATTTCAAAACTTGTTATCAAACCAGTTATATCAAAAAAACTTTTTTAACTTAAAAATTCTGATTTTAAAATATATTTTATTTTATTTTTCTAAAACACCTTTTTAAATAAAAGTATTTTAGGCTTAAAACCTACATCAACTTATTTTGCACTATAAATTAATTTTAATTAAAAAAATAAAAATAATAATATTCAAAGCCATAAATATTTAGTTAATGAACACCAATCTCTAAAAATTATACAAAAGTAAATTAGATGTCAACCCCTCTTATTTACTACACTAAATAAAACAAATTAATGTTAATTTGTCTACCCATCTAATTTTTTTATAGACCTTTTTAATGAATAAGATAAAGGTGGTGAAAATAATATAAAAAACAAAATGAATTGAATCTTATTTCTATCAAATATATAAATTCAAATATTTATCCATTTGATTTAAATTAAAAGTTATAATTGAATTGAATTATAATAGATAATTGATTGAAAATATAAGAAATACATCAACATAAAAACTATTTTGCTTTAAAATAATTTTTTTATATATTTGTATTATTTTGAGGTGATAATGTAAAAAAATAAATTTTAAAAAATAAAAAAATTATTTTAATATATTTTTTTATTTGAGTGATAATATTTTTATTTTAAAGCAATAATAACTTTTAATTATTAAACTGAATATAATAGTAAATCTATAAATAACTTAATGTTTTTTGTTGATTTTATTATAGTATAAAGTGTTATGTATTAATAAAATTTAGAATATTTTTTTATAATGTTTTTAAAAATAAAAACAAAATATAAAATTAAATAAACTATAAAATTCTCTGAGTAATTTTTCGAATACAAAATCTATCTCCGTGTCTCGTTGCTCATTATGCTATAAAAAATAACTGGATATTCAATCAAATCATAATAGAATAAATGGCGGCGCATTGATTTACGAAATGAGATTATAAACAATGTTTCTATTTTGAACTTTTCTTACCTTTCTACTTCGATCTCAATAGGAGAAATCAAAATTAAATCAAGAAAACAAAATTAGTTCCTTTTTTTTTTTGGGTTTGTGAGTGTTTTGTGTTTCTGTGAAAATAAAAGAAATCAATTAATTATTTTTTTAAACATTAAACCAATAATTTTACTTCCCTTTCTGAACATCCTCTCTCTGCAATTTCTTTTTCTTTCTTTCTTTATTTAAATATTAATGTTTTCCCTCAAAGCCCCGAAGCCCATTTTTGTTACTGCCATCCTCTCTCTCTCTATCTGCCTCCCTGAAATCTCCTGCTGAATTCTTCGTTTTTCCGTTTGCTTCCCGGGAAAACTCACAATTGCTTCCTGGAGAAGTCTCTTTCTTTTCCAGGTACAGCCCATTTACTTTCGTTTTTCCGTTTGTTTCCCGGGAAAACTCACAGTTGCTTCCCGGAAAAAGTCTCTTTCTTTTCCAGGTACAGCCCAGTTACTTCATTTTAGTCCTTGTAATTATTGGCAAGATCGAATTTCTTTCCAGTTTTAGTAATTCTTAGTTTTTTTTTCCTGTCTGTGATTGAATTTGGATGGATCTGATTCAATTGTATGGATTTTTTTTGCTTCCATTTGGATTTTATTTACTGAAATTGAAACTGGGATTGTTTAAGTTTCCGGGATATGATTACTTTGATCCTTTTTTAAAAAAAAAAAATCCGGGATATGATTACTTTGATCCTTTTTTTTAAATTTTTTTTTATAAAGCTAAAAACGTTGTTGGGTTCTTTTCAATACTCTGCTTGATTCAAGAGTAAATTTGAAGAATAATAAAAAGATCACTGTTCAATCCCAAAGCTTAGAGCACTTTAGTTCACATCAAATCTAACTTGGTATGATTGTTTTAAGGTAGATCATGATGAAATTTAATGCGACATTACGTTACGTTTCACAGGATGTATACTGTAAGCTTCAACGATCACTGTGATAGATTAGCTGTTAGAATGAGCATCACGTCGTAGTGGTGGTAGAGGTCTTGTTTATGCACACCTTAGTGGTTCCTTTGAATTGATTTAAGGCTAATATGTAAAGAGATCACCTAAGTTTGATTGAGAACTACAGAGGGGTCCCAATCCAAATACGTCGTAGTTCATGAATTAAAATCAGAGAAGAATACTATAGCGGGTATCAATGAAAATGTTGATAGTTCATGGAGGCTCTTTATGCTTTAGCCTTAATTGAATGACCAATTTGATTCGTGTCATTGTTTTGGGTAGTTGTGGTGCTCTTGCATCCGTCTTACATTTTTATCATCTATAGTTTGTGTTTTTGGTTCAAACTACCAGCTTTCTTCATTGTTAAATTGACATGTCAATTTGTCATGCTATAGTATTCTTGTAATTTTCTTATGCTGTTATGTAATTCATGGCAAAACCAATTTATCTTATTCATGTATTTTTCTTGAGTACAGATATTACACTTAACTTTTAACCTTCAAGTATTGTATTTGCTCTCATGAAGAGTGACCAGTGAAGTTTCTGCCGATAATTAGAAGTCGTAGAAGAAAATGTCTTCAACAAAGGCTGACAGGA